TTCATATTACTTTATAATATTCTAAAATGAAATTATTTAAATAATTTTCATATTAGTTTAATTTTCAAATTTAAATAATTTTCATATTAGTTTATAATTTTCATATATATTAAAAGAGAATCCATAAACCACCATATACTCTAAAAAAAATATAGCATGAATTGAAATTAAATCATCATATACTCTAAAAATGAAGCGAGATATTATTATTGAAATTAAATAATAATCCAAAATCTGTCATATTATTATTGAAATTAACCCATCAAGCATGTTTAATTAAGTATAACGCATAACTTATCTATCAATCAAATTATAAAGTATAGATTGTCTAATAATTAAATTCAATCATAAAATTAAAATAATAGTAAAAACAAAGTAATTTTAGGACTATTTTTTTCTACTTTAACATTCCTCATCTTGTTGACCATTTCATTTTCATCTCCAACATTAGGCTCTTTCTCTTGCATTCTATTAAGTGGGGTAATATTTATCATATAATCTTGAGGTTGTGATGACCGACCTCACGACCATCCACGACTTCTACAAAATCAAAAATTAAATCCTGCAAAATAAAGTAGAATTCTATCAATAAAGGTATACAATTCAACTTACAATTTTAGAGGCCCTACAATTTTTTTTAAAATGGATAATGTTATTTTAATTAATTCGGTGTTCACTTATGATCAACTTTGTGGTGCTGTTTCACGAGTAAAAAGTAAGGCAGAATAAAGAATATTAATTCTAGATGATAACGAAAATCCTTGCAACTACACCAAAATTGTTGTTTGCGCAAAAGTCTTTCAAAAATATAGATGTAGAAAACCTTTGAGATGTTCACTTTTGAATTTGTATATAATAATTTTCATTATCAAATATTTAATACTAAATTATTTTTTTTATTTTGTTTTTAATGTCTATAGTAATAAAAAACATATTATATATATTTTCATAAGTTCAATTTAAAATATTGCATTGAAGTTATTTTACAGAAGTGTCAAAAAATTCATCCAATCCCGTGCGTTGCACGGGTTAAAATACTAGTATGCTCCATATTTAGCTACATGTATACCCCATATTGTGTCACATGTCAAGCTCTTATGCATCAAACTCTCAAATTTTATATATAAAGAATTAATGTAGTTTGTTTTTTTATTTTATTGTTATGATATTTAAACAAGTAAAAAAAATAAAAAATACCGAGTAAAACAAACAAAAAAAACCTTAAAAAAGGTTTTAAACAGAAAAAGAAAAGGAGAAAAATAAAAACGGAAGTTTTAAAAATAATTACCAAATATAAAAAGAAAGTAAATAAAGATTTTTTATTTTATCATAAAAGATAGAATTTAATTTGATTGGAAAGAGTGAGGCCGTGAGGGTGGTCAGCACAAATGTATCTAGATTTGAAATACTCTCAAATGATTCACACACTATATTATTCAAAAATCACGAAAACTTTTATTTATTTGTGTGTTTTCATTAACTATTTAATGAAATAAAATATTATCAACACTTTTTGTTTTGTACTCCCTCCGTCTCAAAAACTCATTCACGTTTCAAAAAAATGGTGTTCCACAATCTTCTTCACATTTCTATTAAAAAACTACTTTTACCCCTCACTTTTTCATACCTTACCTATCACACCTTACTTTTTACTAATAATCTACACATTACATTCTACTTTTACCTATCACATCAAGAGTATTTTTGGAAAGTTTATATAAAATTATTTCTCTCTTATTTTACCAGTTTAGTCAATATGTCCCTCTGTTTCTAAGACGGAGAGAGTAGAAGTTTTGATGTGCTTTTAAAATATGTAAGTTTTATTTTTTCTTTAAGTACCTATTTTTAAATAAAATGAATTGAAAAAATTTAAAATTTTACTCTGTTTTGCGTAAGGTGTAAATGATTTTAGGAACATTTAGTACTAGTGTAATGCTACAAATAGCTTTATAAGATCTAGGGTCATTTCTCCCCCACAAATAGGCATGTCAATGGGTCGGGTATACACCCAAACCTGTATAATATCTGTAATTTTTTAGCGGGTTTAGGAGTATAAAAAATACCGTTTACCCGTACACAAATCCGTACCCGGTATTTTAAAAAAAATGGTCAGGTATAGGACGAGTAGTCCCGGCCTGTTTAAAATTCGTACCGGTTAAATAAATACTACGTAGATAATATTAAATATTAAAAAACCTACCACTCTTCTTAGTACTCATCTTCTTCGCTGGTTGCGTGTCTTCCAAATCTATTTGTATTTATTTCACCACATTAGAAGCATGCACACGTTGGTTTATGCTATGTAGTAGTATGAAATAAATAGTTTGGAATTAGCTATAATGTTATAAAGAATATTCTTGCATCATGAATGAATGTGACAAGAAGACCGATTATAAATCCAAAATTTTTGTTGTAGATTTTGGCAAAGAAGGTCGATTTTTGTTGCAGTAACGTATTAGTCTTATTTTTATTTGTATTCAATAAAGTATTTTTCATTCATAGTATTTTCACTAATTGTGTTTCAATTATAGAAAAATAAAAGATGTCAACTTTTATCATTGTATACCTGACCCGATACCGAGATCGATCCAATGAATCCAAATATAGGATTAAACTTCAAGGGTAAACGCATACGAGTCAGAATCAATTTTTTTAAAACAGGTACAGATATTGAAAACTATGGACCTGCCCGAACCCAACCCATTGACATGCCTACCCACAAAGCATGCGTATTTCAAGGAAGAGTTGGGTGTGCATTATTCGGTACGGCCTAGAACTGACCCGAAACCCGGTCAAAACCGGACAGAACCGATCCAGTCTTCGATCCTCTAAAATCTCTTATTTGGGTTCCGGTCTGGTCCAGTCTAGTCCACCAGATTCGGATCCGGACCGGTGGATCGGTCAAACTTTATTCTATTTTTTAATTTTTTTATATAATAATATAATATAAATAATGGAGTTTTTTCTTATATTTTGCTCATGTTACAATAACTTTAAGACTAATTCAATGCTTATCATAATTTTTTATCACAACTTTTTTTAAATAGTCTACTTAAATAAAATTGTACTCTCTTCGTCCCATTTTAAATTGCCTGTTTTTTTTGTCCGTTCCAAAATAAGTGTCTTGTTTCTTATTATAGTAAACTTTTAAGGATAAAATACCTAAACTGCATCTAAAATAAGCCACTCATCTCTATCTTGTTTTCTCATTCATCGTCACCTCCCTAAAAAAGTTAAGGCATTTTTGGAAAATCAACAATATTTTTTTTCTTCCTTAAATATGCCCCAAATTCAAAACAAGCAATATAAAATGAGACGGAGGGAGTAATTCTATTAATGTTTTTTCTTACCAATAATGTTACTATATTTTTAAGACTAGTTAAATGTTACATTATTGTTTTATCACAAGAAAAATATTTTTGTGGGAAGAGTAAAAGAACTTTTTAGATATTTTCTACATCCTTTTAAACAAAGTCTTTTACTATAATTACTTAAAAAAAGGTATATGCAAGATTTAAATGTCGGGTTGTGATCTACAATAGCCTCTGAAGCATCTTTGTCATCATCCAATGTTGTACGAAGAACTCCATTAGTATTATTGGTGACTTTTAAGTTTATATTTTAAATAATATGCATGATTTAATTATAGTGTTAATATTATGTTAAAAAATTTTAATTTTTATATAATGGTGGCAGATAATGTTTAGTATGTAATACACATTACAAATTAATAATATTAATACTTTTTTACAAGTGCATATTTTAAATTAAATAGATAAAATTAAATTTTAAAAAAATAAAAAGTAAAAAAAAACACCTAATTCGGGCCGGTTCTAATCTGGTCAGAGTATTACTGGTTCGGTGCCGGGACGGTCCTTATCTTATTCGGGTCGGTCCCCGATCTAAGAAAAGTGCCTTATTTGATCCCGATCCGGTCCCAGTCCAGTCCGGTCTGGGTTTGGACCGACGCACACCCCTTAGGAAGAGGGTACCAATGTAGCAAAAAAAATAAAAAACAGGATCAAAATCGATGGATAAGAACAAATCAAATAAAAAATAATTCTGAATATAACTATAATCAAATCAGATAAGTTGAAGAGAATGGACGAGAACAAACTCTAAGAGGACTAAACATGCATTTTAGCAATACTAAAATCTATGTAAAAAAAACTAATTGAAATACTCTATATAAGGAGTAATATACTCCCTCCGTCTCTGAAAACTTTTATCCTTTCTTTTTTCATCCGTCCCAAAAAACACTTCTTATTTCTATTAAAAAGTCACTTTTATCTCTTACTTTTTCATACCCTACCTATCACATCATACCTTTTTATTAATAATCTACTCATCAAATCCTACTTTTACCGATCACATCAAAGGACTTTTTTGGAACTTCAATACCAAAATATATTTTCCTTAAATCTCTTTAAAATTAATAACTCCCATGTTTTTAGAACTGGAGTTAGTAATATATAGAGTGATTAGAGGCAAAGCTAAGGCAGTAAATTTTTTTAGGGCAAAAGCTGAAACAGAGTCAAGAGGGAAGGCAGTTATGTAGGAGAATATATATAGAGAGTCAAAAGTGATATGCGCAACTACATATATATACGGACACCGGGACACATGACTTGTGGGCAAATGCTTACTACAAAAAAAACATATTCTTACGTAAAAAAAGTTCACAAAAAATTATATTCACCAACTCAAGTACATATAGTGATATAGAATATGTATATATATCTCCAAATTATGATTCCTTCTCGGATTTTCACCAGATTAAGAAATTTCGATGGAGTTGGACTAATGCGGATGATGTGTTCTAAGCTAGTAATAAAAGTGACATATAAGAGTAATTTCGATGGAGTACAAATTTGAGGGAAAGAGTCTAAAGTGCCCATCCACTGGTGTCACAAGAGGGTGTTGTGGAACCAAAGTAGGACATACTAGTTGGGGTACCAAACAAATTACCAGAGATAAAAGTAATGGTGTATGTACCTATATATGCAGCTTACCCTTTCTTGCTAATTGAGGTAAAACTAAAGTTGGAGAGACGATGATAATCAATTCTAAGCTTTATCACCTTCTTCTTCATCCATCTGTGAATGCATTCTGCAGAATATCAGAGGCATCATGTTCCTTGGTACCCTCCTTATTCTACGAGATGCATAAGGATCAATAAACACTGCTCCATTACTATTGATGATCCTGAATATGTTGCCCACTTCCTCCTCCTCACCATTCTCCTTCTCCTCCTCCTGCCTCCGCCTTAGCGCTTCCAATCGCAACGAGAACATGTACTGGCCACACCCCACTCCCATATGCCATTGCACCTCACACTTCCTGCAGAAAAGCCTCCAGCACTGGGGGCACGCTTTGATCAAGAAACCTTTTCTGTCATCCAAGAACAATCTGGAGCAATCCTTGAACGGGCATCTTATTCGTGTGGGTTTTGCCAGGGCTTCTGTCTCCTTCTGGGCGGAGACCCATGTTTGGAGGAGTTCCTTTGAATCCTCCAATGAATCTAGACAGAAATTGGTGCTCAGATTCTTCTTGCAGTCCGAATTGGGGCATTTGATCCCGTGTATGTCGCTTTTGATTTCCGCCCTGACGTATTCCCTGATGCAATCCTCGCAGTACCGGTGCCCGCAATCCGTCCCACTCTTCATCGCGCTAGGAGGCTTCGCATCTTCGCAAATCGAGCAGAAGGCGCGCGACGGCTCGCCGGGCTCGCAGCGGCTCCTCCCCCGCGCGAACAGGGGAATTTCCCTCAGCGAGCATTGGGAGACGGCGACTCCCTTCATCTTCCCGTCGTCGTGGCGGCGAATCGGACTTGCTGACGACGGCGTTCCCTCGAGACGCTCGCATATGCTCTCCGCCACGCTGATCAGAAGCCGCTTGAGAGCCAAAGATTGGGAGCCGAATCCGGCGGATTTCGTATCCGCGCGATTGTCGTCGTCGGGAATCGTCGCTGGGCAGGGTTCCGGTGAAGAGCCGAAAAGATTGTCGTTGACGCGGCTGATTCGTTTCATCTTCTTGCGTCGTCTCTCAGAGCCCTTCTTTCTCCGCCGGGAAGGGAACTTCCTCTTCATGTGGGGAACCCTGCGGCCCACTGTTACGGGTTTCTAGCTACTGCCCTTCAAGGTTTACGCATATACAGAACTGCAGCAGTTATGCGAGTTACTGGGCCCACAGCATTCTTTTCGCGCCCGGCTAACAGGCTAGGTGAGCCCAAATTTACCCTCGTTACCCTCATACAAACAAAGTAAATAATCTGGATCCCAAATTATATACTCTCTCTCCAACTAAGATTTTTCCATTACGCGTTACGAGACTTGACCGACTTTATTTTCAATTCAATTTGATTGATTATAAGAGTAAAATTTCAAAATAAAATTTATATAGTACTCCCTCCGTTCATGTATGATCTTCCCATTACACGTTACGAGGCTTGACCGATTTTATTTTCAATTCAATTTAATTGATTATAGGAATAAAATTTTAAAATAAAATTTATATAGTAATAAACTACATGAAAAGTTCTACAAAACTAGAGGTGACAAGACTATATTATTTTATGAAATGACTAGTAAAATTGAGCAAACAAAGTGAGTAAAATTTGACTCTGTGAATAGTATCTGGGAAGATCTATGGTGGACAGAGGAAGTAATAAACTACATGAAAAGTTCTAAAAAACTAGAGGTGACAAGACTATATTATTTTACAAAATGACTAGTAAAAATGAGTAAAGTTTGACCCTGTCTGAGAAGATCTATGGTAGGGGAGGACCCGTCACCGGTACAGTACTATGACCGGCAACGGTACCGGCGGTACCCGCCACCGTCCCGCCGGCCGGCACGTTCCACTAGTTCCGGGAACTGGTACCGGTATCGCCCCACTCGGTACCGGTTCCGGTGCCAACTTTTCGGTACCAGTTCCAGTACCAGTCTTAAATTTTTTTTTGCTTTTTCTTTTGCTTCCCAACGGTCCACCTGCAAAACAGAGAAAAAAGTCAGTGGGGGAAGGGGCCTCAATGGCTAAATAGCCGTTTGAGGTGGGGGAGGGGGGAGGGGAGGGGGGAATACTATAAATTCAACCATTTTTTTCCAAAAAAATCACACTCAATTCATCTCTCAATCTTATTATCTCTTTTTAAATTTGGACAATTTTTATTCATATAATAATATAAATACATTCGTTATTCGTATTATCAATTATCATATATTTTAGTGTATTACTAATATTATAATTTTCGAAATTTAATATATAATTAATTTTTTAAATATATTCTTTAAATAATTTAAATATATAATTATTTTTTTAAATATATTATACTTTTTAAAAAAATTATAATTTTCAAAATTTTCGAAATTTTATTATATAAAATTTCGAAAATTTTTTAAATTTTCGAAAATTAATATATTATTTTTTTAAATATCAAAAAATATATATATTAAAATGTTGAGAGAGTCTGGTATAAGGTCCGTGGATATGGGCGCCGTGAACCAAAGTTTGAGGAAAGGCAAAGCTAAAGCCACCTTCGACGGTTCAACCTCACGCGGTTCTCGAGGAAGACACTCTGTCTCTTCCTTTCCCACTATCCCCGATCAATTCATTGGCGACGCTTTGACGGATCAAGAATTCGACCAGTACATATCCAGTAGAGGCGATGCGAATCTCGAAACTCTTGAAAGTTTATTCTAGGAGATTGATGAAGCAGGAATGGACGGGGATGGGGAGCCTACACCGCACAGCAACGACGTCGATGAGGAGGCAGGTGAGCCCAAGACCTCTCAAGGTCCGGACAAAGGTAAAAAAATTAAAATCATATTTATTTGTTTATCATTTTTCAAAAGAAACAAGAAGATGACATAGTTTATGGAACTTGTAAATATTGTGCCACTGTCATTAAAATGGGAGTTTCCGGCGGTTATAGTGGTCCAGAAAAACACCTAAGGTCGAGGCATCCCGTGGAATATGCCAAATACGCGGCAAAAAAGAAGGGATGACAAGAAGTGCAAACCCAAATTTCTCGATTTGCTAACAAGGGTAAGGGCGGCCTTTTTGCTTATAGCGACGAGCAAAATAAGCAAAAAATGGCCGAAATGATTTGTGAAGAAAATTTGTCATACATGTTTTCTGAAAAACTTGGATTTATTGATTATTGTCAACAGGCATTAAACCCTCAAGCAAGAAGTTTTTCAAGAAAAACAATTAAACGAGAAATTATTCGACAGTATAAACTTGAAAAAATAAATTTGGAATTTTTTTTCTCAATTTTAATTCTCGTGTTACTGTTTGTTCTGATATTTGGGGTGAAACATATCATAATTTGTCTTATATGGGTGTTACTTGTCATTGGATAGATAGTGATTGGATTATGCATAAACGTGTTCTTGCATTTCGTGATTTCAATGATTCTAATACTGTTGAAAATATTTTTCTATTGCTTCAGCGTATTCTGCGGGAATACAACTTAGTTGATAAAGTGTTTGCATTTGGTTTTGATAATGCTACTAATAATACTGCTGATATTCCTAGACTTAAAGAAATTTGCACCCCTATTACGAGTATGGGTAGATTTCTGCATCAAAGGTGTGCTTGTCATGTTTTAAATTTGTGTGTTCAACAGGAATTAGAAGCTATCGGGGGGTTTTGACGAATATTAAAAATGGAATTAGAAGAATTTGGGGTAGTCGTCTTATTTCGAAGTCCTGAGAGACATTCTGTAAGTCTAAGGGTAGAAGACAAATAACATTTGCCAGAGATATCACCATTAGATAGAATAGTACATACAAGTATATAGCACAGATTCTAAGCTACAAATAGGAACTTGCTGAATTTTTTAGGGATGAACTTCTTTTAATGATTTCACCTATTGAATTTGTTATTGTTGAAAAATTGAATTTCGTATTAGAAGTTTTAAATAACGCAACTCTTACTTTTTCGCATGTTTACCAACTAACTACAAATACATTTTTTAAAGAGTGCGTTACAATCGCAACATGTTTTCGTGAAAGTTTGGCTGATCCAGATTTGTACCCTTATGTCTCTTCTATGAAAGATAAATGGTGTGCTTATTATTTGTACATTCCTGATATTTATAAAATAGGTATTATTTGTGATCCACGCTTTAAGATTGAAAATTATAAAATTCTAATTGACTATTACTACAGTTGTTTTTTAAATGAAAATAATTATTACTACAGCCATTTAGTAGAATGGGAAAAAGAAAGAGATAATGCTTGATGGGCCGATATCCAGCGGGCAGCCCAAATGGGTTATCCAAAAGACTCCGGGTCAAGCGCACAGAAAAAACTCCGACATGGGCCGGCCCATAACGCAAGGCCCAGTCTACTTCAACCCAAGACAGCTGGCACAGCCAGTCCAGGGGAGGAGACTCTGCTGGAGAACGGAGATGAAGCCGGAAAAAGGGGATTGCGCCATCGATGGAGTGGACTCCTTTGATTATGAATTACTTTAATTATCAAGAATCCATGTATAAATAGAGGGGACCCGAGAGGGGAAAACTCAAGCTAAATCAAGCTAATAATACACACACAGAATTCTCGAGTTCTTGTTCTTATTTTATTTCTGGTGCTCCATTCTTCCGAATCGGATCATTTGGTGGATTTATTGTCCATCAAATTGGTGCTTTCATTGAGAGCTCGAGGATCATACTCAAGAAAAACCTTCCAAGAAGGCGATGGTGCAGACATGTAGCAACGCGAATTTAGGTACCGGAGCCCCCCACTAGGGCGAAAACAGCGCCACCGGAGGCCGGCACCCTCCTATTAGCGTGACAGAAGCAAAGGCCCTCATCCAGAGGGTCGGGATCACTGCGGAGCAGTTCAAGGAGGTGATGATGGCCTTGACCCCGAACTGCGAGGTAGTGGTGGAGGACGCAACTGGAGAACCCGCAGTAGGGAAGGCTAGACCTGCGGGCTTAGGGGGAAAAAAGAAGAAGAAGGTAAGGCGGTCCCAAAAGAAGAAGGTGACCAAGCCCAACGGGAAAGCAAGGGTGGAGGATGAACTGTCCAGACTGGACGAGGAAGATGTATCGTCCTCCTTTGAGCGGGCGTCAGCCTTCGATCGGTTGGGGGACCCCAAGTTAAAGAAGCCCCGAACCTCAGCGTTCGAGCGACTGCAGGACACACGGTCGGCTCGCAAGGGCGACTTGAGAGAGACACTCAAGGAGAGGAGAGGAGAATCCTCAGCGACTTCCAAGATCGGCTCGGAAGAGCGACAAAAGGCGATCGAGGACAAGGAAGCGGTCGAGTTGTGGAGGATGTACGAGCGACTGGAGAAGCGGCTAGACGCCCAAAACCCGTACCGCCAGGCGGTCTTCAGCGAGGTAACGCCCTTCTCCAGAAGGATAATGTCTTGCCCTCTCCCAGACTATTTTAAGACCCCGCAGATCAAAGCATACAACGGGACGACCGATCCCTAAGATCACCTCGCTCGCTTCGGGGCGAACGTGGTCATGTATGCGTACCCCGAAGAGATTAAGTGCCGGTGCTTCCTGGCGACATTGGAGGTGCTAGCTTGTGAATGGTTCCATAAGTTGCCTAAAGGGTCAATTGACAAGTGGAGCGACCTGGCCCACAAATTCTTGGAGCACTTCGCGTCCAGCCGAAGGCAAAATCTCCCATTCTTACACCTGCTCAATGTGAAAATCCGGAAGGGGGAACAACTCTGAGAATTTATCAATAGGTGGGAGAAGGAGACTAGGGACGTTCAAGGGGCGGATGACCAGGCCCTGATCGCCATCCTCCACGCTGCACTCCCCCAAGGGGATGTGCGCAAAGAGTTGCAACGGAATCCACTCTCGACCTACCAGGAAATGCTAGCCAGGGCGAAGTATCTGGCACTGGAAGAAAAAGATGACGAGCCACCTGTCCGGAAGGAGAAGAAGAGTGGACAGCCAGTGGCAGAAGGAAGAAAGAGGAAAGATTTTGGTAGGGGGGCAAACCCTACAGGTCACCAGGCGAGCAGACAGCCTGTCCATGCGGTACAATCCTTACCAGCCCCTCCCCGCAGTCGGGAAAGCTATGGCGTCCAAGACACGCCCAAGTACTGTGAATACCATCGTAACAGCACCCACAACACATCGGAGTGCATTACGTTGAAAAAGGAAATGGACCAGCTGATCGCCAGAAGACTGCCCCCTCGGCCGCAGCGACCAACGTCAGGGAACCGGACCTGGAGGAGACCGGCGGCCCCCGCTGCAGCGATCACAGTAGGGGATGGGCAAGAGGATGGAAGAGATTGTGACGACCTGGATTAGGAAGAGAGGCAGAATCGCCGACATCTAGGGTGTCGGTTCATTATGGGTGGCAATACCGGAGGGGACTCGGCGTCCTCACGAAAGAAGTGGAAGAACATGGTGCATCTAGCCGAGGTGCAAAGACCACCGCTGCCCAAGCGAAAGAAGAAGGAACCTCTGATCTTCAGAGACGAATATTACCTGCCAGTTCTCAGCCCCCATCGGGACGCACTGGTGATAAAGGTGGAGATCAACAATGTGGTCGTCCACCGCACTTTGGTCGATACTGGCAGCTTAGTCAACATCATGTACAACAACACTTTTAAGGAGCTGGGATTGTCCCATGGCGACCTGAAGCCAATCCGTACCCCGCTGTCAGGATTTACAGGGGACACTATTGAAGCAGAAGGGACCATCATGGTGAAGGCTGGGGTAGGAGATAGCACCCACCGACTCTGGCTCGACATGGAATTCATGGTAGTGCAGCTTGATTGCACACACCATTTGATCCTAGGGCGACCAAGTCTGGAGGACTTGGAGTGCGTAATCTCCCCCGTCCACCTGTGTATGAAATTTATCACCCCCACTGGGGTAGGAGTGGCTTGAGGGAACCAGAGTTTGTCCCGGTCGTTCTATGTCAGGGCGACTAAGAGCCAGGCACGGGCTGATGAGAACGTCAGCACGATCTGTGCCGCCATACAGAAGGAAGAGGGGCGACCCAGAGCAGAGCCGGCGGAGGAAGTGGAAGAAGTCGCCTTGGACCCAGCCAGGCCAGAGCAGAAGGTGAGGATAGGTAAGACCCTACCACTTACGTTGAAGGAGAAGCTAATAGGCGTCCTTTGTTCTTTCAAAATGTTGTTTGCTTGGGGCCCGGAGGATATGCCTAGGGTCGATCCACGAATCATATGTCATAGGTTGGCAGTAGATCCGGCCCACAAGCCGGTCAAACAGAAGAAGCGTTTCCTTTCCTTAGAGAGAAGAGACTTTGTCACTAAGCAAGTGACAACCCTGCAGTCCATCGGGCATATCCGGGAAGTTCTCTACCCGGAATGGTTGGCGAACGTAGTCCTCGCACCCAAGGGGAATACCTGGCGGATGTGTGTCGATTACACCGACCTGAACAAAGCTTGCCCGATGGATCCTTTTCCTCTCCCCAACATCGACCAGTTGGTGGATGAGACGGCAGGGTGCGAACTGATGAGTTTTATGGATGCATTCAGTGGATATCATCAGATCAAGATGGTTATAGCAAATGAAGAGAAGACCGCTTTCATCACCCCCAATGGGGTATATTGTTACAAGGTGATGCCCTTCGGTATAAAGAATTCTGGCGCGACCTATGCACGCATGGTCAACAGGTTGTTCGCGCCGGTATTAGGAGGATGCATGGAAGCGTATGTAGACGACATGATCGTCAAATCAAAGCAGATGAAGTCCCATGCCCAGGATTTAGAAAGAGTGTTCAGAATCATGAAGAAGTTCCAGCTCCGCCTCAACCCCAAGAAGTGCACATTTGGGGTTCAGGGAGGCAAGTTTCTAGGGCACATGGTCAGTCGAAGGGGGATCGAGCCCAATCCAGAGAAGGTGAAGGCGATTTTGGAGATGGAGCCTCCGCGAAATGTGAAGGAGGTCCAACAACTCACAGGGATGATCGCCGCTCTCAGTCGCTTCTTATCGAAGATAGCTGATCAAGCGGCACCCTTCTTCCAGACCATAAAGAAGAACCGAGGCTTTGTGTGGACCGAAGAATGTCAGAGGTCCTATGAAGGGTTGAAGGCGTACCTCCTCTCACCGCTGGTGCTTTCGAAGCCGGAACCCGGAGAAACTTTGTTCCTGTACTTAAGAGTCTCTCCGCGGGCTGTGAGCTCAGTACTTGTGAGAGAGGAGGAAGGCACGTAGCGCACTGTGTATTATGTGGCCCGGGTATTGCGAGGGGCAGAGTTGAAGTATACGAATATGGAAAAGACCATCTTTGCGGTGGTGTGCACAGTGAAGAAGCTAACCCCCTACTTTCAAGCCCACCCGGTTCACGTGTTGTCCCAAGTTCCGATCGGAACCCTCCTTCGGAGTCCGAACGCTCCGTCGCGTGTTAGCAAATGGGGAGTATACCTGGGTTCCTTCCAAACAGAATTTAAACTGCGACCAGCGATCAAGGGGCAGGCCTTCGCACTAAGATATCCATTGGGGGATGAGGTGCTGAACCCAACTAGTAACCAAGTCCAAAGGCTATTAGAGGGTGCTTAATCTACGGTCTCTAGAGCGACCGGTAGGACAACACGCCTAGTAGAGAAGGGCGACGCCGTGGCGAAAAAGCCTTAGAAACGGCTAAGTCCAGAACACGAGATCCCATGGTCGCATGAGCGACCGGGGGGCCTGTGGAAAATATGGCGACGCTGTGGGAGCAAAAAGGCCCCAAAAATGGCAAAGTCAAGGAAAGCAAGGTGTTCTCCAACTGAGGGATGGGGAGACCTGAATGCTTGAGGTAAGGTGCAAAAGATAACTTGAAAACAAGATGGGACTTGTAATTAAACAGGTAACATCGAAGTACATTCATGAAAATATCTATTACACTTCAAGAATCACCTTTTGCATCTACATATCCAATACAATTAAGAACAACCTTCATACATCTTGCATACGAGACAAAAAATTCAAAATCTGTGCGGCTGAAGCCTGAAAAGGATGAGGGATACAGGGGAAAAGGCAAGGTTCAAGGGTAGTTCTGCAGCTGCGTAGGCCGACAGAACCCCGATCTCCAAGCGTTGCAAGCGACCACCTCTCTTCTCCGACATGGAACAAAGATGGTCGCCCTCTAGCCGCAGCAAAAACCCCCGTTCTTCTCCAGCAAGAGAAGGAGGGGAGGCGACTCACTTTTCTGTGAGCCCCAACCGGCATCACCTAGATGAGGATGAAGACCCTGAGGCAGCTTGAGTTACTCCAGGTCGCCTAGGAGCCTCCCGGGGGGCGAGCGGCCAGCAGGGCGTGGTAGGGGAGAATCCAATTCTTCCCCCACCACAACCTCTTCATTAGGCCGCACCGGTGAGTTGGTGCGACTCACGCTAGTCCATCGCTCCAGACTTGTGAGATATGCTCCTTCATGCTCCAAGAGGGGCAAGTGCTCATCCTGCACGCTTTCCCAAGCCATACAATGTAATTGGTGGATGGGGAATGGAGCATCCCAGTCAACCCCTCCGTTTGGCAGACGGTTGGCTAGAAGTGCCTTACGCGCCACGCTGAAGTCGTCATAAGGGTTTGGTGGAATAGGTGGAGGTTTCACCGAGGACCACTGCCGGCGGGGCAGCCAGCGGCAGAATTCGTACGGGTCTAGCCCCCCCAGTCGTTGGAGTTAACAGATTTATGGGAAGAGGCAGGCTCCGGCGAAGAAGGGACCGGCCCATCGGAGAGGTTCAAAGAAGTAGGAACTTCTTCAGACATGGTGAAAATGGAGAAAAGGAAGGTGTTTGATGGTGGAGCTAAACGAAGAATGAGGGGCTTATAAATAGCCCCGGGTGAAGAAATCGAAGGTAAAAAAGACAACGGGGAGGGAAGTAAATCAGATGCCCGAGCTGGCGCTTCCACCCGCCTTGGACGTCGCCAGGTTGGCCCCAGGGTCCTGGTCGCCCTGCCCACCTTGGTCGTCCAGCGCAGCTTCTTCTTCTTCCTCGTTAGAGGCGCTTGAGCTCCCCTCGTCCAAGTAAGGGCTGGGGTCGAACTCAGCCAAGGCGCGGCAAGGAGGAGGAAAACCGAGGTCGGGAAGGAGAATCCTTTGGGGAGCCGGGCCAGCTTGTTGCGAAAAACTTGTTGGGCACGAAAGAGTCCACAGTTGAAGGACTTTTTTCCTTCCTTGACCATCCATTGGACCCCGGGCCTGGTTTTGAGCCATTCGACTACCAGCTTGTCCATCCGCTCCATAGCAACCGTAGCGAAGTCAGGAGAAGATTTGAATGACTCGATCGCCTCCTCCATGCGACGGGCCTGGTCGCTCCTCGCTACCTCCAGCTGTTGGATCAGATCGGTCTTCTCCCCCTCTAACTCAGCTATGCGAGCAGAAACGGACCCTAATTCAGAAGATATGGAGGCATTCTTAGTCTCAAGGACGGCGGAGCGACCTTTCTCCTCTTCTAACTCCCTGGCGAAGCGAGCTACCTCCTCCTGCAGCTCTCTCTGCTTATCTTCCGCCACCTTCTTCGCCTCATCCATAGCAGCTTGGCGGTCCTGCCTCCGGCCGACGATCTCGATCATCCCCAGCGTAGCCTGTACTGAAACGTACAGGTTAGAGATGTAAATAGGGAGGAGTGAGAGGGTAGTTAAGGAAAATACCTGGCTCAGCTTCAGGAGAACCATGTTGTTAAGATCGTCCTTAGAACCAACAGAGATGCGAGCTCGATCATGGGCGGGCAAGGTGATCAGGGTTTCCAATTGCATGTCCCCTAAACTTGGGGACAGGGGAGGGATGTTGAACCTCATCGAGCGTCCCTCGGTCGCCACCTCGTAGGTCACTACGGGTGGGGAATGAGGTCGCTCCGAGAAGGCCCTCTAGGACGACCCGACTAGGTTGCCACCGAGCATCAGGGAACGCGGCGGGGAGCTCATCGCCATTGTCCCTGTCGCCAGAGCCGCGTCATCCTGGTCTTCTACATCGATCACGACCTGCTCACGTGGAGGACTATCTTCGCCGCGCGAGGAAGAGCGCTTGTTTTTGTTTTGCCTGGACGCGTCCCTCTTCCTCTTCCTCCCCGCAACGAAGTGGCCGAGGAGAAGATCATCGTCCATCTTGTCCTCTAGTCCTGGTGGCTCGACTGAAAACAGATGGAAAAGTTAATCCCCAAAAGAAATACATTTGAAATCCCTGACAGAAAGAGTTGGAAATTACCAAAAGGACCATAGTCAACGCCTCCAGGGGCATCCCTCAGCAGGTTGGGTTGATGTCCCCCGGGAACATCCCTTAGCAGGTCGGGCTGGTGGCGAAGCTCGTCTTGGACAAACTCAAACCCCAGCGCTGTTATAGATTCCTCGGTCACCACCTTCTTAATCTCGAAGGCCCCTTGGCCACAGAGTTGCCGGGTGATGGACAGAAGGGTGGCATCGGAGGGGGGACATGGGACGCGACGGAAGGATGGGAGCCCTGAACCCGTGAAAGGAGATTCGGGCCCCGTCGAGACAAAGACAAAGAAGGGCTTCTAGTCTTTGGTCGACCCCTTCTTGTCACTGGTAAACAATTTGCTGGACCTTTGGGAAAGACTGGCATAGGACGCCCAATCCCCATGACCCTTGGTCAGCTTAAAGGTAAACAGGAAATGGTCAAGGGTAGGCTTCACCCCTACTGCCTTGCATCTGACCAGGTACCCGGCGACGTACCGGTGAGAATTGGGGACCAACTGGCAAGGAAGGAGGTCCACTTCGTTGAGGAACTCAATCAACAACGAGTGAAGAGGAAACCACAACCCCTTCTTCAGAGACGCCAGATGAACGGTGAAGAACCCCGAGGGAGCGTCCATGGCGGTCTGGGTGCTAGTAGACCTTGGGACCTTGATAGAGGGTCCGACCATGTCACTGGCATCGGCGAACCCCCGATTAGTGATTTGCCAATGGCACAACGCCATGATATTCTCATCCAGCTTAACCCTCGGGCGCCCCCGTGATGGGGTCAATGGAGGAAAACGCTTCCACAACCTGCGTCGCTTTTGGCCAAGCGCAGCCGCTGGCGAGGGCTAAGACGATTGGGTCTGATCTGGGTCATGGCCAGAGGCCGATTGATCGGCTTGGCGAGAATTGGACGACGGGGAAGCCGAATCAGAATCAGAGACAATCATGGCGACAAAAAAGGGAACTGACCTGGAGCAGAAGGAAAACGGGTCGGGTAACGGCGGAAGTGCAAACGAAGAAACAATTGAGAAGGAAAATGGGGAAGATTGGCGTCCAGCGCCGGTTTTAACAGGCGGTAAGAAGGCGAAGTAGCAGGCCATGATTATTTTTAGTGGAGATCGTGCCAAACGTCATGCGAAACCCGAGGAGCGGCCCGAATCCATGCTGGAGCGCTCATGTGGACCTCGTAAACTCCCCATCCCTCAACGTGGCCCAGTTGATGAATGAGGAGTTGGGGGGCTTGTGATGGGCCGATATCCAGCGGGCGACCCAAATGGAAGGCTCGGACATGGGCCGACCCATAATGCAAGGCTCGGTCTACCTCAACCCAAGACAGCTGGCAGAGCCAGTCCAGGGGAGGAGACTCCGCTAGAGAACGGAGATGAAGCCGGAAAAAGGGGATCACGCCATCGATGGAGTGGATTGCTTTGATTATGAATTACCTTAATTATCAAGAATCCATGTATAAATAGAGGGGACCCGAAAGGGGAAAACTCAAGCTAAATCAAGCTAATAATACACACACATAATTCTCGAGTTCTTGTTCTTATTTTATTTCTAGTGATCCATTCTTCCGAATCGAATCATTTAGTGGATTTATTGTCCATCAATGCTATAACTCTTTTTGAGACTTTATTTAAGGAATATCAAGGGTTATACGGTAATGTACCAGAAGAAATAGTACCTCCTCCGCCCCCAAATCAAAAAAATGTTTAAAGGAATAGTCGGTGGGCTTCTTGCAAAGAATGGGAAGCGTGCTCAGCCTTCGACGAGTTCAAGTGGTACAACAGTAAGCTCGCACAATGAACTTGCTATGTACCAAGGGGTTCCATGTGATTACGACGACGACGGCGTGGAGTTTGACGTCCTCGGATGGTGGAAGCGGAACGAACACATGTTCTTATGTCTTGGAATGCTAGCAAGACAAGTGTTGTTCGTCCCGGTATCAACCGTAGCAGTGGAATGAGAATTCAGTGCTGGCGGCAACATTCTTACCGACTTCCGAAGTTGTCTTAACGCTAAATCTCTTGAAACACTTGTTTGCAACCAAGATTGGCTCTTGGCAAGACGTCGAACTCAAGAGTCAGGGTACGAACTCAATACTGATCATTACATGAATGTAACCACAGATGAAAGTCCGAGTTCTAAGGAATAAATTATAAACTTTTTTTATGTTAATGTAGAATTGTAGATATGTAAATATGTAATTAGTTTTTTTAGGTGAGCGATATATACGCTCCTTCGAGAGTTTCTTTACGATTCTTTACCTCATCGCTTTTTTTGAACCGTCAGGATATTAAATGTAGTTGTTCTTCAGTTCGTGTATTACTCATTTTATAATATTTAAATAACAACTACATTTTTAGATATTTTATTTCATTCTTTCTTTTAACAATTGCAAATTTATAATTTTTCACTTTAAAAATTTTAAAAAAAGCAAAAAAAAAAATTTGGGGGTGGTCGAAACCGGCCGGTCCGGTACCGGTACCAAGGGGTGACGGTACCAGAACCGGCGGTTTCGGAACCGAAACCGTACCGTGTCCACCCCTAATCTATGGTGGACAAAGGGAGTAGTCTATACTTTGATATTTATTTTAACTACTATTTCAACTCGTGCGATGCATAGTACCATTAGAACGAAATTTTATTTTAGTTATGTAATTTAATTTTTCTATTTTTTTAAGTTTTAATTTTTGAATTATAAACTATTCGGTTGGGAGAAAAAATCTAAAAAATCAACTCTACTTTCTTAGTTCGGTTGCATAAGTGCTAGGTAATCATTTTTTAGAAAAATGTGAAGAAATCTTCCTTCATANATGGTGGACAAAGGGAGTAGTCTATACTTTGATATTTATTTTAACTACTATTTCAACTCGTGCGATGCATAGTACCATTAGAACGAAATTTTATTTTAGTTATGTAATTTAATTTTTCTATTTTTTTAAGTTTTAATTTTTGAATTATAAACTATTCGGTTGGGAGAAAAAATCTAAAAAATCAACTCTACTTTCTTAGTTCGGTTGCATAAGTGCTAGGTAATCATTTTTTAGAAAAATGTGAAGAAATCTTCCTTCATATGAGTAAAAAAGTATAAAAATATGAAAATAGGAGTTCTAAGTTTTTTAAGTCTAAAATAAGAGTATAATGGAAGTGTGGTCTAAAAGTATGCGTTGGCAGTGTGATTAAATGTTATGAAAGTGTAATACGGAGTATATTAGTGTGATTGGTCGATCAACCGTCAGTAGTTTGCGAAGGCACTCGGGTGACCGGCGAAGACGGATGGCAGTGAGGCGGTGTACGTTGTTGTTACAATGTGACAATGCGGTGAGTGTGGCAGTGTGACAATGATAGTGTGAACTCATAATTTTTTACTCCTGTTTTGGTATTTTCATATTTCCTCAATAAGAAAAATCTATTTTCATTTCTTTTAGAAGAAGGTTCATTTTTCTGCTCAACCCTCGAGTACTCTAATTCATCAAGTTCATTTCTCCATCCACCCCGATCCACTGTCCTTGCCCCCGCCCCTTGCCCATACCCCCGCTCACCCCCTCCCTCAAACCATAGAGAATGAAGTTCTATCATGAAAATTTGGGATCCATCGTTTACAAAAAAATAGCCTAAAATATTTTAAAATAACTTAAAATATACTTATTTTTTATTCATATATCAATAATGTCTCTTTTCTAACAAGTAATAGATTTTGTTAAAGAATTTTTTTAATTAAACTATGGAAAAGGTGGGGCAAATTCTTACATGGTCCTAAGATCTATGTTCATTTATGAACCCTAATATATTGATATCATAAAAGAATTGACCATTTTATAAATAAAAAAAGATCCGCTTGCAAGCCAATGAAAAGTGTGAGAAAATTCATATTCTACCTAAGAACTTTAGGATCACAAAACACTATTCAATGTAGGGGGAGTGGTTTTTAGTGGAATTCTAAAAACAACTTTTTTCACAACTAAATGCACCTTCACATTTCAAATTTTTTCTATTTCTTTCCAACTTTTATTTTTTGAACTCTTTCTAGTTTTTCTCAAATTTAGGGGAGGGTATTCAATTAGAAGTCTTTAGGATTTTTTTGGACTTTAAGAAGGCAATCGATTTAGAAAATTCATTGACTTCATGTAGAGTTTAACAGACTATTTTATTGATTTACATGGAATTTTATATAGTTGAGAAGATTTGTTTATTGATTTTTCGGCTCTATGTTTGTTCATCTTTTTTGTTCATCCATATTGAATCAAACATCCCAAATTTTTTTATAAATGCATATTATTAGAATCAAGTAAAAATCAAATAGGCACTGCAAAATCAAATAATCAAATAATAAAATAAGCACTACAAATAAGCACTCCTAAATGTTCAAGGAACACACAAATACATAATAAAAAATTTACGGATTCAGATATGGGTAATTTTTACCTAAACAGGACTAAAACATAATTTCTCAATATAAGATCATATGTTTTATTTACCAATGTAAGACCATTAGTCATTATCTATTAGTCATTATTCAACTAAATGTCCGGCAATACTTGGACATTATTCTTCTCGCTAGTCATTATTAAGTCCTATTTAGGGAATAAAAAAGTTTAATTTTTAAATTGGAAAATGACTTATGTTTTAATCATATTCAGTGCGGAATGGCATAATTTGGATGATATTTGCTGACATGGCTAGACAAGGTAAGGCATTGTCTTTCCATTGTGAATGCTCTTTGGTCATCCACCTTTCTACTTCTCCTGCTCCTTCCCCTCCGTTAGGATTGTAAATGGATAACCGAAAATTTGATTACCGTCCGCACCTGTATTCATTTATATGAAAAATATCTGCATCCGTTAAAAGTAGTTATTATCCATATCCGATTAAGGATATCCCATTGCTAAATGGATAGGATTTGGTAATCATACATCCGTTCCGTCTATAATCCGTTTTGCATTGACATCCATTTAAATAACCGTTTATCTGTGTACCCGATCTGTTATACATAGTTTTTCTTAATTTTTTTATTCTTATATTTTGTTTCTCTATTGATATCTCAAAGTATAAGACATTTTTATATGCAAAATATATGTGTAGATTATGTATAAATATAGATATTAAGTGTCAAAGTATAGCATTCGAGACAGTAAAAAGTCAAATGAGAAGAACATTTCTGGAAGGAGAGAGTACTATATTTTATTTCATAATCAATAAAATAAATGCCAACACAATTAATATTTGGAAATTAAGAAGACAATTCTGGCACGGAAGGAGTAGGTGCTAGGACTACTAGCACTCGAGGTTGTAATGCTAGCCATTAGGCTCAAATGGGGTGGTGTTAGAACATCTCCAACCTTGAAGCTAAATGATACTCCCTTCGCCTCAAAAAGATTGATACAGTTTGACTTTTTTGGTCAAACTGTGGTACTCTTTAACGACGAATTAAATGTAGTTTAAAATAATTAAATATTATAAAAATTTGATATTTCAATGCTATATCTTAAAATAAATCCAGTTTTACTAGATTTACATTATAATTAAAAATACGTTTTCCATTATTCGCAGTCAAAGGATGCCACAATTGAACTAAAAAAGTTAAACTGTAGCAATCATTAAAAACATAAGAAGTAAAAAATACTCGATAGCAAGTTTAGTAATTATCCTTTATTTGTGTGCACTCTAAAGGGAAGGGTAAACTATAGGATTATGCTATGTGTACCCCAAGATTTATACTTCAACTTGTACCCTGCAGTTTTGCACCAACATTTTGTGTTGGTGTAAAACTAATTTTTGTTAACGCACCAACATTTGTGTCCGTGTAAATTTTTATTAACGTACCAACACTTGTGTCGGTGTAAACCATCAAAATGTTTGTGCAAAACTGTGGTGTACAAATGTGGTATATTTTTTTTGTGTAAGTGTAGCATGGTCCTAAACTATAACAAAGTTGCTATTTTAAGAAGGATAAAGCTATTTGTACCCCAACTTTTATACCCCACTTTGTACCCCGCAGGTTTGCACCGACACTTTGTGTTGGTATAAAACTAATTTTTGTTAATGCACCGACACTTTGTGTCCGTGTAAATTTTTTTAACGCACCAACACTTGTGTCAGTGTAAACCATCAAAATATTTGTGTATAACTGCGGTGTACAAATGAGGTACAATTTGTGGTGTAGTTAGCATGACCCTTTTAAGAAATCCAATTGCTATGCTCCGGGTATATAGCAAACGCATTTGCTATTTTAACAAACATACGGAGTACTTGTTATTTACGAGTATATTTTACTCCCTCCGTCCTATAATATTCTTCTCAATTCTGTTTACGAAGTTTGACCGACTTTATTTTTAATTCAATTTATTTGATTGTAAGTATAAAATTAAAAAAAAATTTATATATTTAAAAACTGCATCAAACGTTCTACAAAACAAATGGTGACAAAACTATACTACGTATTATTTTATCAAATATCTAATGAAAATAGGTAAAGAAAGTGATTAAAGTTTGACTGTGTGAATAGTAAGTGAGATGAACATTTCAGGACGGATGGAGTATATTTTACACATAAATGCGAGTATAAGACAAAAGTATGAAATAAATATTTTTATTAAAAATAAATGTAGAATAACAAAATATAGTGATGCATAAGTATAATATACTCCCTCCGTCCCTAAATATTTGCAACATTTGCTTTTTTAGCAGTCGCGGGAACTTTTGTTTATTTCTACGTTTTCATTGGTTATTTGATAAAATAAAATATTCTTGACGCCTTTTATTTTGAACAACTTTTCATGTAGTTTTTTGATATGTAAATTTTATTTTTTATTTGTATACCAATATGTAAGTAAAATGAATTGAAAAAGTTTGATATTTTACCTCGGGAATACAAGTGTGACAAGTTTTAAGGGACGGATGGAGTATATATTAGGATCATGCTACACTTACACCAACAAATATACCCCATTTGTACACCATAGGTTTGCACAAACATTTCGATGGTTTACACCGACACAAGTGTTGGTGCGTTAATAAAAATTCACACGGACACAAATATTGGTGTGTTTAACAAAAATTAGTTTTACACCAACACAAAATGTTGGTGCAAAACTGTGAGGTACAAATTGAGGTAAAAATCTTGGGGTACACATAGCATAATCCTATATATTATAGTTGGAGAGGTTGTTAAGATTTAGATAGGTAAAACACTATTGGTATTTGTTTCATAAAATGATAGGGAGTATTTACCATCCCATCTTTTTTGCAAATGAACTGGAGATGTTCTTAGAGCAACTCCAAGGTGGAGTGTAAAAAATTAAAAGCTAAATGTCATTTTAGCTCTTCAATAGTATTTTAGCTTCTAAGTTTTTGATCTCCACTCCAACCATCACATCTATTTTATACACTTTCATTATTTTTAATTTTTATTATTTGTATTTTAAAATTAAAAATCAAATTTTAATCCTTCTTTTTTTGACGAAAAATTTTAGTCCTTCTACTGCAAACGAAAACAATAAAAAATACGGAGTATTATCCAAAAATATCTTCATCAGTAAATAAACTTTTCCAAAAAATCTTCATTGGTGCATATATAATGCAAATCCCCTGCCTACCCAAAAAAAATTCTAATTGAAAAAAAACTTCAAAAACAATTCCAAAAAAAAATCCAAAAGTTACAAAAATCTACATCAAAAATTCCAATAAGATCTAATCAAAATTTCCAATAAATTCTAATAGAAAAATTCCAATTAAATCTAATCCTTCTAGAAATTCACAAATATTCTTGAAAATCACAAAAAAATAATCACAGATCCACATAAAATTATTAATCCATAATTTTTTGCAAATGGAACCATTAAATAAAATTAAAAAAATCACAAATCCATACCTTGGCAAGCACTTCCCAAACCTTCGTCCTCTAGGGTTGGCGATAGCAAATGATCGGAGAAGAACATGGGTGAAATAAACGGAGAAAACTACTCTTCTTCAGTATTTTGCATTATTTTATTACTTTTAATGTTTAGCTTTTACTATAGCTATCATCTATTTATAGATTATATGAAATGCATTTTAACTTATAGCGTATAAATTGGAAGCTCCGTTGGAGATGAGAAATGAGCACAGTAACAGCTATATCATCTAAATTTGACAAATCCATTCAAACTCTATCCTTGCTGTCCGATTCTGATCTAGGGGTTGCTTTGATACAGTTCGCCCTACTTTCCTTTAGGAAAAACAGCTGATCCGTTCCCAATACTTCCTCCTCAAATCTGCTTTCATCGTTCTTTTGGCAAGTACATTTTTGTAATTTTGTTCATTGGCCTACTATGAGGCTAGGACTAGGACACTCTATACTTCTGCAGTTTCATATCTGTGTCACAACACAGCTTTTTGTCCTGCAGTGCATGTTGGCAAGAAAGGGGCAATTTCTTACTCCCTTCGTCTCAATTAGAGTTGCGGCTACTTTTTGAAATTATTTTATTTACAAATTGGTATATCACCAAGATATAAAAATTACATATTAAAATACTACGTCAAAAGTTCTACAAAAACAAGAGGTGACAAGAATATTTTATTTTATCAAATACTTAATGAAATTGCGTAAACAAACAAAAGTTATCGAAAAGAGAGAAAAAAATTTATAATCTATTTAGGGACAGGGGAGTACTTTATTTCCAATTTTTCATGGTTATGCTATTCTGCACTGATTCCAACCCAACCCCCCCTTCAGTCTCCTTATATGGCAAATCCCTCCCCTTATTTAGAAGCTAAATAAACACATCTCTTTATATACCATTGTTCATCATCATCATCATCTCCAGACTATCAAGAATGGACATTTCAAGCCCCAAGTATCTTGAATCTTCACCACCCCTTTTTCTTTCTCACATGGTAATGACTAATTTCAGTTTCTGCCATTTGCGTCCCTTAATTTCTTTTCTTTTCTTCTTCTTCTTTGGTTCATGTGGATATGGTTTGGTTTTTCTGTCACAGGAAGGAAGACTGGAGGGTAAAAAAGGGAACCCATTTTTGGAAACATTTCAAGATCCAGTTTGCAAGCTTAATCTCAACGAGACCACTGAGTTTGTGAGGTCAGCATTTCCAGCAGCACAGAGGAGTTCATTGACAAAGAAAAGTGTGGAGGCACCTTCAACCCCAGGGAGGCCCATTTTCAGCTTCAGCATTGGGAATTTTTCAAGAAAATCTGTGCCTTCAAAGTGGGATGATGCAGAGAAGTGGGTTGCTAATGGCAGTTCTTGCCATGATTCCCCTTCTCACCCTCATGGATTCAAGTACGGTAATGGGGTTAAACCCACAGAGGCTGCTGAAGAAGATGATGATGAGAAGCATTCCATGGCTTCAGTTGGGAGATCATCATCCAAACCAGGTGTGCTAACAGGTTGTAATCAAATCCCTCTTCTCCTTGTTTCTCATATTCATTTTCATTACTGCTTTGTTGAATAATCAAAATCAGCAGATGATTTTAGTATCACACCACTCAATGTTCTTTGGTCATGAATAGACCCACTTAACCAATAGAGAGAACATCAACCCAAAAGTTTAAAAAGTGTGGAGGTAAACTATTTCTTTTTTGGTCCATGCCTTTTCTTGAAAATGGGAACAACTTCAAAATTCCAGATTAGGAGTGGCTGGCTTCTTCTTCTTTTTTTTCAGAAAAATACAAGCAACATTTCATTTCCCAAGAATTTAAAGTTGATGAAAAACTAAACAAAAATCCACCAAGTTCACTCAGAAATATGTACCCATAAATGATGTGGTAGCACCAAACGCCTTCTTAGAAATTGAAACTGTTCAGAATTAATAGATTAGCTGAAGTCACAATACACTAAAGTTGAAAGCTTTCAAATGATTAAATGAATCATCCTTGAAAACCAGTTTGATGATCTTTTAAAAATGTAGACAAGTTTGCCAGAGAATTAGGAAGTGTGGGTGAAAAGCTCATGAAGTGTTGTGCAATGCCGAAGGAGTTTAAGGTGGATCCAGAACTGAGAGACATCGGGACCTCAATGACGCCTATGGGCAGCTCTGCTCCTTCCAAATGCCACAGCCCAATAACGATTGCATCGCCAAACGGACACAACACTCCTGCTGACCGGTCCGGTCCCCTGCCTCCATCCACTTCAACTTCTGCCAGCACAACAGATGTGATAATGCAACTATTACAAGAGAGACATTTTTCAAAGCTGCAGCTCGCGACAATGCAGCACGATTCTGTGAAATCAAACTGGAGCACTCTGGATGAGGAGGAAGATGATGTTTCCAAGAGCTTGAGACACTTCGAGGCGAGTAACGAATGTCAGGGATTAACCATATCCAAGCCTAGATCATACCCTTGGGAGGGAGAGGTTTCCAAGTGCTGTCAAAGGTAAACCGATTACGATTTGTTTGATTTTATTAGATTATTAAAGCCTTTCTTCTGTCTGCAATCACAAGTTTGAGATTCTGGTTGAGTTGGTTTCTTGACATGGTATCAGAGCCTTGTTGATCAAAGATTTATGCTTATCCGGTCATTTCAGACAAATAACCAATATGTCCGCCTCAGGTACCAGAGAGAAGAGGCTCAAATCCAAGCATGGGTGAACCTCCAAAGTGCCAAGGCAGAAGCTCAGTCTAAAAAGCTTGAGGTTTGATGTTTTAATTTCTTCTCACCCCTACCCCGTAGTGTGTTATAATATAAAAACCTTTCTTGGACCCAATGATCCCACTCGATAAAGAGATCCAAAAATATGTTAAATGTCCAGGTGAAAATCCAAAAGATGATATCGAAAAAGGAAGAGAAGTTGATGAAGAGAATGGCAATGGTTCGGAGGAAGGCGGAAGAATGGAGGAGTGCAGCCCAGCTTCAGCACAGGGAGCAGATGCAGAAGGTGGGCGAACGGGCAAGGAAGACGGTCACCCGGCAGAGCAATAATGTGTCATCTTCTCCTATCCCAACTTGTTGCACCTGTTTCCCTTGCAACAACCATTATTACCTGTGATCCTAATGGTTGCATATTTCAGTTGTTCTGTGACTTCTATCCTGTGGTCAATTGCAATGAGTGTTATTCCTTCATTGTTTCGTCAATTCAAGAATCTTTGGTTTGGACCACAGAGGGAGAGTGGGAGATGAAGTAGCTTTTATACTTCACATTATTATTTGACTAAAGAGAGAAACCTAACGGCTATTTCTAGGACCACATTTCGTACAAGTGTTGCAAAGGCTCCCGTCCATTACGGGGCAAGGGGTCGGATGTACGCAACATGACTCCTATGTTAAAACGTAGAGTAGTTGTCAGGAGTTGACTCATGATGAGCGTCAAAAATGACATTGAGTAACTATTACTCCAATATCAAATATTGGTATAAAATGCTTTTGTTATAGTTTTTCTAATTACTACGTTCTTCCTAGAATACTCATCATGTTTGACTTGAAA